TTGCAATACATATGCATATCATTACTTTTCACCAAAAATGACAAAAACAATCATCAAAATTAGATAATTGAAGATATCACCACAAAATGAACAAATCTGAGAGAAGTCCACATGTAGTAAATATATATGTAATATCAAAGCAATTGAACTTGCAGTTTTTAACAAAAAGTCAAAAATATCACTTTTTACCAAAAATGACAAAAATATTCACCAGAATTAAAGATATCATCACAAAATGAACAAATCTGAGAGAGGTCCACATGTAGTAAATATATATGGAATATCAAAGCAATCAGACTTACAGTTTTTAGCAAGAAGTCAAAAATATCACTTTTTACCAAAAATGACAAAAATATTCACCAAAAATAGAGAATTTGAGATTTTGACATGAAATGACCAAATCTGAGAATGAACCATTCAAGGTACTTGCATATCAAAATTGTAAACTTGTGGTTTCGAAGAAGAAGTTAAAATTGTAAAATTGACGACGACGGCGGACAATCAGTCATATAAACAGCTCCACTGTGTCGACTTTGTTGACAGCGGAGCTAAAAATATACATAGAAAACATAACCATATCAAACTTGGCTGAGAACTCCAACTAGTTAATGAAATATCCATGTTTGAAACAGATCATTGGATAAAAACTGTTTGAGTTGAGTTGTAACTACAACAAAGAGAACAGATCACATCCAGTAAAACCATGCAACATTTAAATGACCTTCAAAAACATCATTACACAGTTCACCACATCCAATCTTTAACCACTATGTTCCACTATTCAGTCTGTAAAATTAACGGTATGTTTTTTAATTGTAAACTTCAAATGTTTATTTCTTGTTTCAGTTATTTTGAAATATTAATTAATCTTATTCCAGATGGGATAAATGAGGAAATTTTTATACCAAATTTCATACATGTAATCACCAATATACATCACTTTCAATGTATTATTTTGTTACATTTTACACACATTACAACCAAATATTTGAAAACATACGCAAGTTCGCAATAACGGACCAAATTACAAATCTAGTAGAATAGTGTATCAACCCACACCTAACACACAGCATTCTGGCAATGCGTAACAATATAAACACATTCAGGTCTTGCAAAATAATTGTACATGATACGTCCTGTCTTACGTCACACTGTGAAAAATATACCAGTGATGAAACAGAAGATGCCTTCCTACAATTGTGATATACGAGTACTGTAAGGAAAACATATCTAAACACATACACAACTGCAGCCAGTAGGACAATAGATGGGACATGTGCAAATAGTATAATCCAATATTACTATTTAGTTAAAAGTTATTATAATTTATTTGTGTTTGAGTTATTAGTTGTAACATGATTTGACAATCTGTATATAATAACTCAAAGAACTATGCATCACAGGGTTAACTTAATGAAAGTCTGCCTTGAACATCACGACTATTTTACCATTACATCATTTTATTTACACTTGTTCAAAGACTTGATCAATAACCAAGGATATGTGGAGAGAAAGAGTACAACGTGCATGATTAATTTTCGGAAGATTTTGTTGCTAGTTCAATGATGTTTTACTTGTCATGACAGTCTTGTAAGGAGCAGCCGGCCAAAATTCTTAACAAAAAATGAATATAATCATTTCGAATCCACCAAAATGTGTTGTACGGAAGCAAAAATGACAGATGTCACTGAAAACGTTCAGTAAAATTCACGAATGTTAATATAAGCTGAATTGTCATGCACAGTTTTCTTGCTTTATATGCATAGCTCTATATTTGGCAAGTTTCTCTCTTCTCATTTTTTCCAATTTTTGTATCCAGCGCTCTTCCTTTTCCTCTGCACTGGCAAACAACTATGACAAGAAACGAAAAATGCGAAACATCAGTACTACAGAAAAATACATTTTCATAGTTTGTTGCATAGCTTGTAAACACAGTTTGTTGTATTAGTGTATAAGTTATATCGATATATAACCAGATTTAAGCATGGTATAGGTATGGTGAAGGTATAAGCATTATCTCTATCTAGTCCCGGGCTCCTACCCATACCAGATTCCAGGATTGATCAAAAACATCTACACTCGCTTCTTTGAGTGATATGACTGAACATCACACATTGATACAACCAAAAAGCGAACTTTGATATTCCGATTCTTTTAATAACATATTTAAGTTATATAGAATTACTATCACCTTGTTACTACTACCTGATGTGTCAGCTGGTCCATAGACTGTTTTTTTTTAAATAACTTAAATACATGTATTAATATTAATTAATAATAATAATATTAAATAACTTACACTATGTGATGCTAATGGACCCCGGTCTTTGTAGATAATACCACTTGGTGTGGAGCTTGGAGTTGATTTCGGGGCCAAGCCCAGCGCCACATTGCTTCCACCGAACATAGCTTTATCATGGGAGTAATCAATGCCTAAACTTGAAGCACTCACTTCCTAATAATATAATAAATAACAGGGTTCAGTGCTGTAACGCAAGAATAAGGATCATTGCAACACACAGTTGAATTATCTCTGTGATTTGTGATGTGAGATGTGGCAAGCAACATATCATATCATCTCAACAAGGTTTGTTTATTTAGCCCATTACCCCACTGTTAAGATGGGAGCCAGGAATACCATAATTATTTGAAGAAATTGTAGTTTTTGACAAAAATATTCACTGAAAATCAGACATTTTGTTATGACATACTTTAAAAGAATCTGCATGGCAAGTATAACCAGCATTACCACAAATTGTGAGAAATATTTACAGTTTAAGCAATATACTGTGGCAGTTCCGTCAAATAATTTGTGATATCCTAGTAATAACCTAATTGGTCCATGCAATTAGATTGAGCTTTTGCTAGGAATTATATTAATCTAAACATTTCTGGTAATTTCAGTGTGTGTGTTATAAAGCCACATATACCTGAGGCATAAAATCTGATTCTCCCATCTCAACTTGTCTGCACACTGTATGTCTGTTTCCCAAGTCTAGTGTCCATTTCTTGAAGATTGTGTGAAAGGGCCATGAATTGAACAGGCTCTACAATTAGTAGTCATGTTACATCCTAGAAATCACAAATATTTTGATGGCTTCAAAAAATGAATATATTTATTAACTGCATGTCGGGAACTTTACAGTAATTGGTGATCATAAATGATGATCATTTAATGAGGCTCCTCAATCTCTGGGATTGCGCCATTGAATTATGGGATACTATTGTTCTTGTTGTTTGAACAACAAATCTGTCTATTGTTTTCCATTGTCTTTTTAATTTAGTAAGACAATAAATTGATAATTAACCCACATTTACACACTCCCATGATATTTTTTATTTTATTGAAAAACATCAAAAAATAAACAAGAGATTGTATGCAAGTCTGAAGCTGATATAACATGTAGTGTATTCAGTAAATCTTCATATTAATCTGATTCAAGCTTAAATAGTGTAAGTATTTCAGCAAGTAAATAAATACGTGGTTATCAAACAATACATTATGTACAATAATGTACATATTGCAAGCAGTGATTCAGTACACACTTACCAATGAGTCTCTACCTGAGGTAAATGCCGTCGGGGTAAAATCATCATCTTCAATGTCTTCAAGTACTTGCTGTCTATGCATCTGTTGCGCAACAGTTAGTTTCTCTAAAGAAAACATTGCAATACAATTAGGATGATATCAGGAAGTAGCAGTATGTATCATAACAACAAACTCAATCTTAATGACATAGTCCCTGTTAGGTATTGAACAAAATATTTTATTCTGTCAAACAGTTGGTCCTCATAACTACAAGGTATTTTAAAACCTTTTGAATGTCACCTTTAACAAACTAAAACCCGTATAATGTTTTGAGATTTTTTTTCAAAAATGTTGAAACAAGAACTGTACATAATTAGAAATTATGTCCTTTTGGTACAAAATTATCAAAGAAATTATAGTAAAACAATTAAATACATAATGTGAAATAATGTAGAATGTATATATAAACATGATTGGTCAGGACATGTCAGAGATAGACATCTCCAAAACAGTATTCATTAAAACAAAATGTCCAATGTACGTACTAAGTTTGAAAGAAATCAATTCCCCACACAACCAAGATCTGGTACTGAAATTGCAGAATATTTTACAAATTTTTAACATTTAAAATAGTCATCATGAATTAGATTGTCAAATGTACATATATGTACATATGTGCGATAAAATCGGTGAGGGCATGTCTGAAATAGCATTTGATAAAACTAAATGGCCGTCAATCTGTCATTTTGAATCTGATCTGAAACACAATGTGCACCAACATCCCATAATGTCTGAGGATTGTTCCAAGTTTGCACATAATTCATCCATACACCGGGAACCAATTCTGTAATAGCATAGATGTTTAATTTTTATGACCATTTTGTCATCTTGAATCAAATTGTGAAACTTATGTAACATGTATGATAAATAAGTCCACATTTTCGGACTTCGTTCGAACAGGGACAATTACCCTCTCATGCCACATCTTTGGCAATCTTATCTCAATTGAGTTTTTTGATATGAAAGGATTTAATCCAAACTATTATGAAACTTTCAAATACACAAAGTCAAATTTCAGATGTCAGATTGATCCAGCGACTGTCAGACATACCAAATAATATCGCTTTGCCTCATATTGTCAAACTGCTACTGAGATACATAAAATAATTATCAGAAATTCAATTACAGCATGTATGTAGAAAATACACAATAAATGCTGGTTTAAACGATCAGATTTATCGGACAAAACTGCATCTGATTAATCTGATGGCAAAATAGGCGTTTTACATGATTAGATTTATCTCATCAATTCATGATCTTCTTCAGTTCACAAGGTCAGATTAATTTGATCAGTTTCATCTGATCATGTTTACACACAGTAAGCATGCCAATGGTTATCATCACCAGTGTGCCCTCTAAGCTGATGCCATGTGCCATTAACACACAAAGATTTAATGTTGTGCTAATTAAGAATGTAGTAGACTTTCGTTCGGCAAAACAGAAAAGGCTTGATAAAAAAATATTACTGATTAATGTCTAACAGTTTTACATGTTATTGTAACCCTAGCAACACTCTACATGTTTGTACACCAAGTCACCTAATATAAAGTCACACACAATTTTACTTTACTTTTTTCTTGAACTACAAGCTGACTCAATTTGATTTTGGGGGGATTCCATTTTGACTCAGGAACCATACAAAATCAGTTCTGTTAAAAAGCACACTGTAGTTACTATGTACTGAGTTGTTCCAATAACTTGTGTTTGTACCCATGTGCTAAATTTCATTTCAGAACTACATAATTGCATACATGCATGGACAAACACAATACCCCATCAAACTAGAGCACAAATGTAATGGATACCTCAGGAGATGTTAAATAAACATTGACCTTTGACATGCATGTTAATTTGATTGAACAACGCTTTCATGGGTGATTTTCTTATGGACTAATGTTTGATCTCTGACAACCTCAATAATTCATTGGGAAACTGGGTCAGTGTCATCTCTTGAAATCTGCTTGTAATACAAGATGTAGTTTTTGTTAGATTATGTGATCTGACACTTAACTGGCAAAGAGCCATGAGTTATTAAAAAGTAAGTGGGTATCCATGAGACTGGGTGGGTAGAAGTAGGACAACTGTAGGAGTAGACCAGTTTGCATATTGCAGGACAGAAATTACAAAGTGTGCTGCTGGGTTAAGGACTACCCTATTAAACATGAAATGTGTCGCCTAATAGAGTACTGCTCTCTGAGATCCACAGAATTGGAGTTGAAAATAATAAAACTGTAGCAATACATAAAATTGCCTACCTTTTGCAAATTAGGTAATTTAAATGCACAGTTATAACCTAAATCACATCTGTGGATTATTACCTATGCAACAAGTTTCATTTGAATCTTTTGAGTATTTCTTGTGATACCCATAGAGGTGCTTAAAATTTGCTAATTATTATGCAAATTAGGTAATTGATATGCAATGATTACAAACAAAAACTAATTACGTCTGTGCATTATTATTATTCAACACATGTATGTATAAGTAATTAACTTCAGTACCATGAAATGATTTCCATATTTGGGCACACACAAATAAGTCAGCACAACAAACTTTGAAAATTATATTCTCACCAGAATAAAACTATTTTTATGTTTTTTAGCATTTGGGTTTGTAATTTCATAAACATTATTTTTAGAATTTTGACGAGAAGAAATTCAAAAAGAAATCTGATTAATGAGAATGAATCAAATACTACATACCTTTTCCTAGCAAACCCTTCTCTCTCAAAGTAGCATCTGCAGAAGCTGAAAAATATAAAAAAACAATTTGTATGTGCTTGAACAAGTATTTTTTTTCACATTTAATGGGTGGACATTGCTGACATTTTAGACACAAGTTATTCCCTACTACTGGCTATTCAGAACAAAAAATGTGGTACTCTGTAGCAGTTTTTGAATTATTGCCTTAGTTTTGTTTATTTAAATTACTGCCACAATAGAGCTTAACACTATGTGAAAACCACAAAGTCATAGAAACTTTTCTTTTTTTATTTGATAGAACTTTTTACTCGGCAAGATATTCAGAAAATTTATTACTTAGCAACTGTCATCTTGAAGACCAATTCATTCACATAAATAGGCCATGAGCAGTGTGCTAATTGATTTAACCAATGACGTTTTTTGTGGAACAAAACAAATACAAATGAGGTAAAATGATAGTCTGAATGTTGAAACAAACATTCATTTCCAGCAAATTTGCATACTATAGTAGGTCATGTGACCTGACATATTAGGCTATGTTTACTGATCTGATACAAAAAAAGATTATTTTGACCCAATGCAGTAATAAATTGATTGCAAAATACGAAAATAGTAGCAACAACACAGCTCTTGGACCTTTAATTTATTTTTTTTTGGTAACAATATAATGAATTTTGTGGTAAAATTAAACTCCAATATAAATCAAGAAAAGTGCATTTACATGTCCTGTGACAGCAGAAGATAAAATCATAACTTATCATGCAAATCTACCATTTTTCAATTACAATGTGCAATGGAAAGACAGACGATAGCTCAAAATAATAAAGGCATTACAATGAATAAAATAAAAGCACTTAGGAAAATGGAAAATGATAATATCGTAGGAAGCTACATATATAGCTACATGTACAGATTGCTAAATAAACTTTTCTATTATATTCATATTGAATGTCACAGTGGTCATACCTGCCGCCTCCAGAGCCTTCTGCATTCTTAGCCGGGCTTGCTCTCCAGGAGTCTAAAACATATTCAATTTGTTACTAAACACAATTAGCACGAATACAGCAAAAATTGTCTAAATTAAATGCTTTTTTCCATTTTTTCCATCCAAAAACATAGTTAGTAATTGAGAGTAAATAATTGGCTAGTCATGCATTTTTTGCATCCAAACTGAATTTCACTTGACCAGGCTCATGTACAGAGATACAGTAGCATGGTCAAAAAGCAAGATTGCAGCCAGTCGGCCATCTTTGATCCAATTGTGAAACTAATTGTCATGGACATGTATCATAACATGTATACCCCGTAATTTGAAGAGAAAAACCCATGTCAACAACACATTTTGAAAAAAACAAGATGGCTGCCAGTTGGTTATTTTGGATTCAAACATGAAATGAATCATCCTGGACATGTATTTCAACATGTATAATGTTTGTATCAAATTAGAATGAAAACTGACAAATCCTGTCCATTTTCTAAAAAACAAGATGAATGCCAGTCGGCCATCTTTGATCAAATTATGAAACAAACTGTATTCCAATAATATGTATGATATATCTGCTAGATATGAATGACAATGGTCCATATGGCTTAGAGATATAGTAGTATGGTTAAAAAACAAGATGGCCGCCAGTCCGCTATCTTTGATTTGATTATGAAATAAACTGACATGGATATGTATTCCAATATGTATGATGTATATGCCAAATATGAAGGAAAATAATCCCTAATCTCTAAGTATGGTCAAAAAGCAAGAACCAGTCGGCTATCTTTGATACGATTATAAAACAAATTGCCATGGACATATAATCTAAATTGTACAATGTACAAAATTTTAACAAAAACTGACTAAGCATGCATAAGATACAACATTTTCCAAAAACAAAATGGCTGCCAGTCGGCCATCTTTAATCTGATTGCGAAACAAATGGTCATAGACATGTATTCTAACATGTATACTACATGTACTAAATTTGGACAAAAACTGACAAAGCATGCATTTGATACCACATTTTCAAAAAAATGGCTGCCAGTCAGCCATCTTGGATTGAATCAGTAAACCACTGCATGTGCATATGTCACAGATAAAGTACTAGGCACATGCAAAGAATGAACAGATTTGGTCCACAGGGTTCAGACTCTGGATGAACAGACAGACAGACAGACGGAGACCGATTATAAGTCCCCTTTCGAACTTCGTTTGAACAGGGACTAAAATATAATCCTTACCATTTCAGCAAAACCTGGAATATCTGCACATGGATCGCCCTTCTTTTTTTCTTTCTCCTTCTCTGCCTCTAATTCTTCCTGTAACTGCATCAAAGGATGCAGAGGAGATTTACTGTATGAACGCTCTCGACTTCTCCTTTTATCTCTACCAAATGGATCTTTTTGTGGGGATCGATCGCTATAAATAAATTTGAATAAACACAAAGTTCAAGAACACCATTCAACGGGACAAGAGAGCACTATTTAATTCACTATTGTACTAAAAGTGTCAGTGTGCAGTACATGTGCGTATTAAAATGAACATAGTATATGTCACATCAAACACAATGTATTACAATGGTAGTGGCACTTTAAGAGAGAATTTATCATCTACTAATCTTGCTGTGGTAAGACACTTGATTATCTTACCACAAAATTTAAGTTTACAGCTGATATTCATGATTATGTTCTGTAAATGCATCCTATTCATATATACCTAATTTTAACACCAACCAAGGTCAATGCATGTTTCATTACAGAACTACTCACTTTTGGACTGCATTGTCCATTGATATCAAAAGCTCTACAAGTGAATATTCTTTGAAAATGAAATTGAAGAAACACATTTTCACTATTTGTTTGCTATATTCTTTATTTGAAATATTTATTCTTATGTTTTATTTCTATTTATTTTTCATGATAGAGGGCACTAAAGAAAATTATGTTTGTAACTTATATTACCCTCAATAAATAAAGTGCTATTATTATTATTATTAAAATTATTATTTTTATTAATAGCATGGTGTTTCTCACAAGATAATCAAAAGCTAAATGTACCAATAATATATTGTAAGCAAATTGTAAATACGATTTATATTTACCGTCTTGACCTTGAACGAGATCTTGATCGCCTGGCCTTCTTGGATCTGACTGGGGAACGGCTTCTGGTTCTCCGGCTACGAGACCTGCTTCTACTTCTTGATCTCCGCCGATCATATGAGCGGCTTGTGGAATAACGAGCAGAATCTCTTTTCGGTGAGCGATCACGCTGTCGATAAGAAGCGGGTAACTTTCTTTCAGATTTTTGTTTAGATTTCCGACTGTCAGTTCGTTCAGAACTGCGACTCTTTGATCTACGACTGCGAGACCGACTTCTGGATCGTCGACTGCGATCACGATTTGGAGATCTGCTACGTTCTTTTCGGGATGACGATGACTTTTTGTCTGATCGATGCTTTGATTTGGAATTCTCTGTTGGTTCTGTACTTCGACTGTGCTTCTTATGTTTATGTCGCCTCCGACCATCTCTATCACGATCATCATCACTGTCAGTACGTCTCCCCATATCCTCAAATGATCAATAACCAACAGCGTTTACTAATGTTGAGATTCTTGATAGTAAGTGGTATCTGCATTATACGTGAAAAAGAAAAAAAACATTCAGGTGTTTAGTTTTGAATACATGCTGCTGTATTGTTCACATACAACAAACTTGGTTGTTACTGTACTCTTAAAATCTGATCATGAGAATTATAGTAATATCTTGACCTAAAATTAACACTTCTACATTTATATACATGTAACTGTAAACTGAAGCCCTGCATACTTGGTAGTACTCCCATGGTGCATTTCACTTGACTTGAAACACATAATTCTCTCCATATCAACATGCTTTTGGGGCAATTAAACATGATGCACCATGGGAATACCACAAAAAAACTTGGGGTTTAGAAATAATTCTTCCTTTCATTATATCGTGGCATAAATTTATTATATTTGTTATAACTTTATTGGGCATATCTGTTATGAATCTGACCTGCGGCATTTTAGGCCATGATAAACACCACACTGTACATTATGTACATGTACCAGGATATATATTTTTAAATAGCCATGTTTCATTTCTGCACAGGAAAGTGACACAATACACAACAGTGGTGGACTATCTAGCTTACTCACTGAGCTCAGTCCCTACCTCTGACAAAACATACCCAAGACTTTTTTTTTTCCAAATCATACATCATTCACATCATGGACATTAAAATAATTTAAAAATGGAAAATCAACAATCAAAGTACCATTCTTTCTCAGCCAACTATTATCTGTGGAATAACTGATGGACAGGTGTTGCACCAACATAGAGGGCGCTTTGTATTATATCCGTCACTTCTGTGGGAGTCTCATAATGATACACTAGTACAAACAAACACAGAAACCCAGACATTACTGTATTATTAGCTCCAGTGTGAATTGCACAGATTTTAGTTTTACATCATGGCAATGAAATGAAATCTCTTATTTATTCTATCAAAAGTCCACATAAACCAATAAATTGCATTAATTAATTAATAAGCTGGCTATTAAAATATGACTTTTTTACCATAAAACAAGTGTGTTGTTACAGAGGTAATTGAGAAATTATGGTTAAAGTATTGTCATTGCAAATTATTTGATGTTCATTTTTGCTATTTTCAATGGAAGAAAAAAGTGAATAGCTACAGCAAAATTAAATTTATTTCAAAGTTCAGTTTTCCTCACGGTAAATAAATCATACTTTCCAATTTACTGATATCGATTCCACCAAAAGTGATCTGATCCATGGCAGAAATACAGTGTTCAATTTTAAGTAACATTTTTACAATGATGAAATCTGGACATGAACTTCACACAGCCAAAGATCATCAATATCCTTGCACTACAAAAGGGAATCAAATCTTTGCACAATTAAAGACCTTGTACTAAAGCCATTTAAATTTTGAGCAATTAATTTCACTTTTGACAAGCTCTGACCAGAATTTTGTAGGAATTGAATTTTGTCTCAGAAGGGTAAACCATAGAAAATTCAAGATATGTTTACGACACAGATGGTACATTTGATAACAAGTTAATGTTCATTTTGAAAGAAGTAAACTTCTCCTTGCATTTAAAAAATAAACACCCTTGAACTTCTCAGATCACAGAGAATGTGATGACAGATTAAAACTAATGACCAAAACACAGTCACCAATAAATCTAAACAAACACATTTGATGGCTGCTTCTGTGGCTTCCACAGAGGATAAAATAGTTTCAGCCATATTGACTTCTTTCTTTCTTTAGCTAATTACTATTACTTATTTAGCCACTCTGCAAAAAGAGAGAATTTTTATTATATGAAAAATCAAAATGAAGAATGCCACTGCATCACATGTTATTTAATTGATGTTTAATGATGTTTAATTTACTTTTCTATGGGTAAAGACATGTGTTAGACCCCTTAAGCACCGTTGTCAACTTCTACAAAACGATCCTATCTCGTCCCCACATAAAATACTGATAACAATTTACAAACCATTTTGAATAAAAACTAAAAGCAATACCTGAAAATGTCTGAATGGTCCAAAAAGATGATGAAATTTAGTGTAAATTTTACAAAATGTGAAAATACTGCACTGAATTTTTGGCGAGAAAAAATCTGGCACATGAAGAGTTAAATGATAACTATTTTCTCAGAAATATTCAAGATTTTAAATCTTCCTAGCCATTGGTGGCTAAAATGACATACACATTGTAGCCCAATCTCTACCGGCACCCAGGCCAAAGAGTTAATAGATGCCTCAGGGATAATTTCTAATGATCGTTATTGACATGGTCACTGTAGCATGAATCTAAATAGATTCAAAACTCAGTCTAAATCTGATATCAACACCATGCACTCACCCCCAAATGATGCAAGTATAATGGCTCACATGGCTAGTTACTGAGTAACAAGTAAAAACACCCTCTGATGCCAAGCATAAACAAACATGTATTTAGTGACAGCCATATGTAACATGCTTTACTTGGAAGTCAAACTCTTACAGCTTCAACTGAAAAAAGTATACTAGTAATTTAAGCTAACAAAGAAGCAGTTCTGGCATTCAAGACTCACACAGATAGGTGGGGTGCCTAAGTTGAAGTGACCACACCCTAAGTGAGTGTGTCATCGATAAAAAACTGTACTGGGTGTGTTTCACTTATTTACAGCTATTGTACATCTAGATGTACATAAATTTATTAGTAATACACAAAACCAGCTATTTTTTTTTTTAAATCTATCCACCAACTCGGAAATTAAAGTGGTTTATACCAGTAATTGACCAATTATAACACTATTTTTAGTATCAATTCACCTCGATGTTCTTTTTTTTATTGACAAGAAATCAAACATTCTTAAGTATATCATTCAAAATCATCTCCACTGACATCATGCTAATATTGAATAAAGCCCACATAATAATTCAACCACTCAAAAGCTCAAAAAAAAACCCATAATTTAAATTTTTTTCTTAACCATTCAATCCCTTATTATTATTTCTTTAAAGTTTAATCACATGAAAGGATTTAGGCAATATGTCATGGATTATCAGACTTTCAGTTCTTGTACATCAGACAATGAAGGTATTGTTTTAGATGATGTACCATCAATGGATTAATGTATTTCCTGAGAAATGTTATGCTATGTATCATTTTTTAATTATTGCTTTATTGAATGCTGATGAGCGATACCAAATGAGTCAACAATTGTAAAGTTTCTAGAACCTAGATCTACTTAAAATATGAAGATACATACTGGATCTAGAGTTGTGTACTGGTGGAATTGTTGAATGTTGAAAATAAGTACCAAGACTGAACCTAATTTGTCCCTGCGTGACCATGATCTAGTTTTGGCTTTTTTTACTCGCGAAACGAATAAATATGTATCATATGATTGGTTCTAGCATGTTTGACATATAGGCTACATGCAGGTACTGCCACAGTAAATTTTACATCCTATGTGCACAACTTTGTGTTTGTAAGACAAGAAGGAATGGTTTCATCAATTGCACTGAAGAAATCAGTTGCATGATTGTGTCAACATTCATTTGTTGTTTAAAGCAGCAATCTAACGTTCACAAACAAGTTAGATGTACTATAGGAGTACCTCAATGAATATGGTCAGGTACAGCTTCATTTTATAACGGTAGTAAAACCTAGCTTGAAACGTAAGATTTTTTTTTAGATTTAGTATTTTCAGGGTGCAATCATCTGTGTATATACCATTGCAGCACTAATGTGCTTTTACTGGTAGTCTCAGCAGTATCAGGGCAGAAAGTTAGCTAACATCATTGAATTGTGAATGTTCCATATGATACTTGAGAGTGTCAGTTTCTTAGATGGCATCTTTTCAGGGTTTCACCATATCAAAGATGGTAAGATATAGATCAATGCATGATGAAATGCATAAACTGTAGTTAATGGTTGTGGATGCATGTTTGAATTATTTCTTGAATGCAACAAGTACATGCACCCGCAATTTACATTTTACCACATAAAAACATATCAGCAAACATTGTATAAATGATTTATCAGATTATTTAATTAAATTCTGTCTGTGTCCTGCAACAATATCGATTTGTCTGAAGTGGGCGTCACTACCAGTCAGAACTAGAAAGTTTAGCAAGCCAACCCAGGCTGTCTGTTAATTCACAAAGTTTTGCCAACATGCTGGTGCAGTACTTCAAACCCCAGTGAATATCACCTTGCTGCTGGATTTCAAAGTTTGTTTTTTCTTACTTATCAGTATTACATATGTTAGGTGTGACTAGCTTCGTTGACATGTCCTAAAACGCACGAGACCCCAAAACGAATGCATTCTATGTGTTTTCCTCTTGTCCCTTGGATGTGATCATAATAACAAAATGTGGCCATGAGGAATACATGTGTTGAGCAATATTCACCATATCTATTTATATAAACAGTACCGTACAATACAATTTGTTGTTCCCTAACAATGTAATTAAATTGGCATGTCTCACTGACCCACAGTGATGTGAAATGAAAATAATGTTTTATTTTGTTTATGTATAAATAGAAAACTAAATAAATAAATACAGTAGTTAGGAAAAAGTTTTTAGAATACAAAATTATGTTGAAACTTTGAACTGGTCAAATTTTAAGAATAACACTGGACACATTTTAAGAATAACAAGTTTATTTTTTGGTCAAAAAGGATATAAGTTTGTGCCATTTCATAATGCCTTGACTTATTTTAACCAAATTCACTACAGTGATTTACCACTAAAGCATACAGATACTCATCAATTTTGCTTTTGGATTTCTGTTCCCTGTTTTCATCGCAAATTCACAAAATAGTCTCCCTTATAGTCTGCACTTTCCTTCAAAAGATTGCGACAAAAATAGCTAAATCTTTTGAGTAAAAACTGAAAATTGACTCAAATTGGCTCCAAAATCATGGTTCATTTCCAGACATATTGAAGATTATTTAAGAGAAATGTAGAAATGTACCGAAAAATTTGGGCGAGAAAGTCTGGTGGTGAAAAAGTGAAGTGTCGTATTGCCTATATGTGAAATTTGAATAAGTGTATAGCAGAGAATAAGCCAAAACATCATTTTCACCTTATTTTTTTTACTAATAATTACATATTTTGACCAAAAAAGACCCCTTAATTCACTTTGATTGTACAACTGTGTCTATCCACATATGTAATGTATTGTACATTACCAATATGAGAAGTTTTAATGAAATTGGCAAAAGCATTGCCAAGAACAGACAAAAACATTATTTGCACCCTATTTTTTTGACCAAAGATGACATACTTTGACCCAAATAGAATCCTTTATTGGACTATCGATTGTGAAATGGTTGGGACTTTCCAAACCCATTTTGTAAAATAACTTATCTGAGACACAAGGACTGGATACAGCATTTCTGCTCTGAATATTTAATTTTAATGATATCCAGGATGATCTTACATTAAAACAGGACTGCCAATAAGCGAAGCCGAAAAAAGTGTAATTCCAGACATGAGACAAGGGACTGCTCAACTATTGTGTTGTCATCAGCATTTCAGAGTTTTCTCAAGCGATCAGCAAATGATAGGCTGAATGGTCAAGCACGTTGACACACTGAATATGTCAACAAGAGGAACGGGTCATGAGTGGCTATTATGTGAAGAATCAACAGCTTCTGCAATTTGATTGGTGCTACAAGATCTTGTTGAGATAAGAGAAAATTACAGCAATGTGTCAGGCTTTGTTTGTGTCGATGTGAATCTGTCAGCGGGGGCGCAATAACTGACTATGTCCGGTTACTGCAACACAAGGATTACATTCATTGCACAATAAATTGGAATAAACAAACTTTCTAGAATTATAATATAAAAACCAATGTTGGCCAGTTGCAGACAAATTTGTAGGAATTTTACGTCAGTACCAAAGATTGTACAAATGCTTTCATATTAGTAAAATATATTATCATAAAACAATACACGGTTGAGCCAGTCTAGTGACCTGGCAGTGGCATGGTGTAGTATTATAGCAGCGCTGTTCAAATACATTCCTTTCAAAATTCACTCAATAGTATTACAATGTTGCAGTTCATTACCAAATCGAAAAGGTCCGAGGTCCCCTTGTCAATCATGATGGCCCATGTTCTAAATGAAACCCCTTGCACTGTAATATAAAATCTATACAGAGAATAAAGATTGTGAATCTTGCTATCCTTTTTAGTAAATGATCAAAATGAAGTCTTGAAAATATCACCATGATAACTGATTAAATAAAATGTATACTTCGTTGTGTCTAGTTCTGGTATATCCCAGTATAATAACATGTGCAACCAATACTGCATGGTGTCCATTTATAGTACGTCCAGAACATCATCATTTCAGTAGCACTTTCAATTGAACAAGACAACACATAGATGATACGTGGAAAACCAGTCTTCCGAGGTTTGTTCGACAATGCAATTTTTTGCTACCCGTTGCTAACATTTTAACTTGATCAAGATATTTTTTGTATCCAAATTCGGATATTTATGCCGACCGGAAGTTATAGAGGGAACGTGAGTTAACTAACTTCACGATCGTCCCCCAGACAACGAAAATAAATACATGAGATGAACTATATTGTTGGATATATCATTATAGCTCCATGGATAAATCCATGGGTACTACTCAACATGACCTTGCTTATATGAATGTGCGTCGGGGTCAGGCTTCCTGACAAAACACCGCCATGGACTTCAATGCCCATGTGTCTCTGTAGAATGTGAAGACTTCTGCGTCGAACAGACAAGCCAAAGGCTACAATAATCACTAAATCGGCTCATAGACAAATTAAGACAGTAATTTGCAATGCGCCATTGAAAAACTATTTTATATGAAACATGTTAACGTACTCACAATCCAACTGCGTGTCTCTATAAACTCAAACACGGCATTTGCCATAGACGATACTGTTTTCTGTTTTTCATTTCGTGCGCGCCGCCATTTTTGTTATCATCTCGCCTTCTTTAGCTATCGCGAGACTACCTGAATCACCTCTTCCCAAAATCCTTTACGCAAATTCTTTTCTGCAACTGTCTCTTTCTGCTGAATTGTGGAATCAACAGTATATCAATACTCTGTAATAGTAAACATTATAATAATAACTTTATTACTCAACAATTACCATCTGAAGGTAATGTATGATAAGAAAAATACTACAATAAAGAGGAAAAAATTACAAAAATAATACTATAAAGAAAAGATTACAAAAAAAAAATAGTATACTGGTGAAAAATCAAATGTTTTTAAACGTTACTTTTTGTATATTGTTTGTTTAACTAGAAGAAAACTGTTGTTGCATATGTTTATAAAAATTGTTTATTCTATCCTGTTTATTTATTATGTTACATTCTATAAACAACAATTTTCGTTCTTTCTTATAGCGCTCACAGTCTAAAATAACATGGATTTCATTTTCCACTTTTTTAACATTACATTTTGTACATATTCTATCTTTCCTCCCCCTTTTGGCTTCCTTCTTCGTCCTAATTCAATTTCTAGATCATGGTCACTTATTCTGAATTTAGTTAATATCCTCACCATGCTGAAGTCCTTCATTGTTTTGAATAAACTGTATGTTCGTAATTTATTTCCCTCATTTTGATTCTTACTACGATTAACTATTTTATTTTTCCAGGTCTGTTTATATTTTTTTGATAGTTTACTTTCGATATTTTTGAGAACTGACTGATGTTTTTTTTTTTTTTTTTATCTCGTATTCATCTTATAACAATGTCGATGCCGCGGCAGTTTAGTATTTAGGGCGTTGATCATTATGATTTCAGATGGTAGTCTTTGAACACACAGAGGAAGTTTTAAAAATCGAAATCTCGGAAAAATATATAATTGAAAAAACATGCACATTAAGTTTGGCAAAGAAAAGCACCCCCTGGATTTCTAACCGCTAGCTTAAGTTAGTTAGGATTTGACGATGAATACGCCGGGAATATAAGTACAAGCAGAGGGCCCATAGAGGGTCGGCAAGGGGTATTTTCGTAAGCTGTAATCAATTGATTTTATTCTCGTAATTATGTAATTTAAAGAAATAAAAAACGTAAATTCGTAGATATGGACAAGGTGTAAAATGTAATCAGCTATTTTATTCATCCATAATTTGTACAAAGATCTTATTTCTCGTATTTTAAGCGTATAAAGCATTTTCCACATTAAATGTGGATTTTAAATGTCAATTTTGATTCTTAAACACAAATTATCATATATATTATAAAAATGTAAAATGTAATTAGAAATTTGCTTTATCTGTAAAGCGTAAAAAACCTATTTTTTACTGTACGTGGAACTCTGATTTTATTTTATGTAAAGAAGTAAAATGCCTTTTTTATTTCCTGTAACCTAGTGCACCAGCTACCCCATCGCCCCCCTCTTAGCAGCGTTATCTGGACCATGCATGATCATATAAAACTAAGTGAGAAGAACTAGAAAAGGGTCAAGGGAGTGACAGTTTTCAAATGACGAACAAATAACCATCCAGAATGTAGACGTTGGAGCTAGTTAAGATGTCCCGGGTTGGCTGCTCATGGCATTATACTGTATGTAGACTCCACGGTAAAGATTCTACTTTTTCAAAATCCTTAATTTTTGCCCTAGCCTGAGTACCCCCCCCCCCCAGGTCAGACAAAACAAACAACATGGCGACGTTGACACTTTTCCTTATGCATGTCTTATACTAGTATTTTTATTTCAAGAAAGCACCATCGCAGTTGATAAACATGATAATAAACATACGTTGTAGTTCGCGTGGTAGACAAGGTTTACCAGCTGGAAATGAAATGAACTGACACATAGCAGATATTGTCAGTGCGATATTCGAAGAGTTGAGTGATCATCAGCGCCCAGCGTATATCATGTCTGCAAATATTTACCAAAGATCTACAACATATTAAATGTGTCTTTCAGTAGGTGTGATATTTTTTTTTCATCATACTAGACCAGCTTTCAGCAAGTCTTGTTTTAGTGCCCCCCAACTGTACCGTCTGAGGGCACTATATGATGAATTACATAACGACAAATTCTAAAAGGATAGAATGTTACATCCCAACGCTCTACGCACTTTCCATTCAAGTTGCTGTTTTAAAGATTGTGGTGTTTTTTGAGATACTGTTTATATACTATAATTATTATTTTTTTTAAATAAATTGTGATATTTTGTTTGATGTTACAAACAATTTATTTGTTTGACAATTTTTCAAAAGTCACTCACTTTTTTCGTTAAAATATTAAATAATTTTATAAAATATATTGCGGTTTTTCATAGTACTGTGAATATTAACGATGACTAGCGCGTATAGTTGTTGTTCCGCGGTGCCCGGTTAGGTACGCTGTTGCGGCGTGTTGCACATGCACAGACCGGACTGTCGCGGTCCGATGATACACTTTTCACCATAGTCAAATTTCCTATATACTTTTTTTTCCTTGTATATTTCAAAAATGAATAAGGAGACATCATTGAAAGTAAATATATTTTCTATGCTGACAGATGATCACGTTTATAACTCTATTGGATACATTGTTTAAGTTGGTGGATATTCATACATCTCGGTTTACCGGTATGGTTTGGTTTATTGGAAGTATGCACTGCAGGTCGGTGTCAGCGAAAACGATAGCGCCTTCTGATCACAGTGACTGTTCGTCATATCGACTAACAAACGCAAAAAAATTGCTGTATACAATATGTATATATATATTCCATAAAATAAATGACTAAGTGCAAACAGAAATTGAGACTACAGCAGTGACTTTTCGATTTTAAAAAATACATACAAAATTAGATTCAAACCATAATTTAAAAACTAGCTTGAGTACCCCATTTTCTAGTCTTCGGAATCTACAACAGCTAATCATGGTACACATATATTAAAAAGTGTAATATACAGACTTTTCAATATTATTAGATCACTGATGACGTTTTGGGCTGACTGACTGAAATAAAATAAAATAAAGCTGAAAAAATGCACGAGCATAATCGTATATGTAAGTCGTGCCCTGAAGCGATTCTGTGACAAACGCCCTCTATTGACGAAGCGATTCTCTGACATACTAGTAGTAAATTAGAATCATACCTAGCCCATGATGAGAATTTGTGTTACATTCGCCCAAAACGTCTATGACGTCACGGTGAATGTGAAATGAAATGATCTAAAATCGTCCATCAATAAAATAATATACATACTAAATAATAGAATGTTGACCAAAAAATTTATGAAAATTAGTAGTCACAACAAAATAGAAAATCATGCTTCGTTTATTTGACACATTCGAAACAACTTGCGGTGAAAAAAATGTTGAACAAAAACGATGATGATACCACCGCTAACAACTTATATTTTGAGGTTCTTCAAGGTAGAAGTCTACTCATAAATTAAAATATCCAGATTTTATTCGTTTTACAATAAATTGTACTCCAAGGTAATATAAAAATATTGACCTAAAAAAAGTTTGGGATAACCAGTCTTTTTTCCGAAAAATTGATGGATGTATTTTAGTGGAAAGTCGCCATTTTGAAACTATTATAACACTTTTACCACAGGTCCCTATGGTCTGGTGACATAGACTGAAAAATGATATATTCAAGTTGTTAATGATGGAGTACTTTTTTTTTCTGGATCACCTAAAAAAATAAGGGTTTTAAAAAGTGTCAACAATTTTTCTTCACATTGTGTTCTATGGAATAGAAATTTTCAAGAAATATTAGGACATCTTTCTCATAAAGCTTAACTCGGCATGCTGTAACACACGAAATAAAAGCTATCTCATTGTACCATGTGACATTAGCTTCATGATTGTACATAATAAACTAATGAACATTGTCATGCGATTTATGACCAATTTTGTCAAAAATTATAACTAGGCTTCTACCTTAAGATAACACTATTATAACACATTATAGATATTATTACCATTTCGGATACAAATTTATGGAAAGTCGCTTTTTTAATCTATTTTATAATCAAAAAATACAAATGGACCATTGAAGACATATTTTAGTCGAGGGACGATTAATTGTGTGCATGTATACATTAGAACATTTTGTGAAATACTAGTAGTATACTTGATCACTTTCTGCTTCGTTTGTCGCATTCTTACACTAATCTATACATCGGAAACTTGTGACGGTTTCTAGATACTAACCAGAGACTATTTATTTATTTATTTATTTATTTATTTATTTATTTATTTATTTATTTATTTATTTATTTATTTATTTATTTATTTATTTATTTATTTATTTATTTATTTATTTATTTATTTATTTATTTATTTATTTATTTATTTATTTATTTTATTATTTAATTATTTTACCGTCACAAAATCATCTGGTCGTGACGAATGTGAATGTGAGGATCACTACATGTAAGTCATATTACTCCATGAGATAGGCAGATACAAGGGTGCGCACACTTATGTTTTTTATCAAATTTTAATTGTACTCGCCAAATGAGGTATTGGGAAACAAAAACGGAGAGGTATATTTCTCTTACCAAATCACAAATATTTTACTTGCATTGAAACTTGCCCTATTTACACTTTTAAATATCGCGAATGATTAATAACTTCAATTTTAGGAATAAGCAATTATCATCAATCTTAGTCTCAGTGCAATGGTCTATATGAGCATAGACCCTCTAAAAGATACATAAAAGATACCAAGATGCATCGTACATCCTCTTCCCGTGCTTCCTTTGATATTTGTCGGCAGTTTCCCATCCCTCTTTTAGAGGGTCTATGATCTGAGTTATAATTATCGTAACATTTTATCCGTCCAATCTCGCTGTAAATTCGTCGTACATCTGTACTCGTCGGTTGAGTCGAGGGTCGTTCTTCAGCGCCGGCCTCGATGTTCGGCGTGACCGAGTCGCCGATGAACACTCAGTGCTCGACTCGGGCGTAACGGTGCCCGAGGTTAGTACGTCCATCGTACGAACAAGAAGTAAGGATGCGATGTTATGTTAGCTGTCAATTACTGTGACAATTGCGATTGCGAATGCGGAACACCAGTGTTTCCTATGCTTTGTGTTGCGTTCCTCGTTGACAGTTTTAATCTAGTTAGCATATTTATTCTGGGATTAATCTGTAAAGAAAACCTCCTCCTTCCTACAATTACCCCAGATAAACTAGTTTGCATTCTTTGTTATTTGATTACTATCAAGACCAATTTATAGAAGTTGGAAATGATTTTCCATGAACGCAGCAATTTGACGAATTCTGTGCAATGCAATTCCGTTAATTTGAGGCGAGTTACGCGCAAAACAGTAGGAACAAGATATGTTCATTGGTCTCACGATCGATAATGAATTCTAAATAACTCTAAATTCTGATAAAGTAATATTTAGCATTTCATTCAAATAAAATTATTATTCTTATCAATCAAACAGCTTCTATATTAAAAAAAGATGACAGGATATTTTACATAGAACGGAAATAATACGAAAATCCACACGTGGTTATTTTATGCACAGTTTCGCATACTCAAAGCAAGCTGAAATGTGAATGGGAAGCGTACCAACTGTATCGTCCCACTTGGTGCATGGGTTGTGGTCATTCCTTTCAAAAGAGGTGCTAAAAATATGTACATCGTGATTTCAATTTGGGACAAAATAGACCAATTCATAGTTGAAATGACTCATTGCCGGATTGAATTGTCAGAATCGCCGTGAAGCCGACTGTTATGTACATAGTGTGAACTACATCCATTCAGTACAAGGAACACGATTCACATGCGACAAAAAATACTATAACCTCAAAGACATAAAATAAAATGCCGATTTCATTCACAAAGAACATGACCCTTCCGTTCTGTGTACATTACCACTGATTACCAGTAAATTTAATTCGAACGTCGCTTTGATGGGGATAACACGTCAACAAAGTTATTATTATTACTTTCAATGGCAGTTACCACATCTACGTTTTCCTATACTTGGTTTGATTTGTCCAGGTTGTTGGTTTCGGAATATCGATATTATGCAAGTCAGGGTGACACAACTGCTCCTCATATTGTGCTTGACTCTGACTCAGAACCCGCCCCCGTTTATACCACACTGGTACTTCCGGTTTGATATTCACTCATGCGTGATTCCGTTTGTTGCTAGTTCCCCCCAAAAAACTGTCATTTTTGGTTAATAATATTGAATAGTAATGTTGATGTATAAGATATTTGTGATTTAACGTAATTTCATTGGTGGCATGGAGCTGTGGTTTGTAGTTCAATGTCGCCGGTGATATCGCCTCTACCGTCACGATATAACACTCATACATGTAGCTTATTATTAACACAATTGCCGTCAGATTAACGGATCCTTCAAAACGATTGTCAACGGGTAACTGGTACATGGTGGTGTCGGTAACTTCTTGCTGTTTCGCCCAGCTGTGAAAACGTGCTGTCATAAAACTCGCGCGAAACTTTTGAAAGATTGTAAATAGTAGTTGACAAGTTGTTTGACCCCTTACTGGCGACGGTACTCATTGTAAATATTAAATGACAGTTTCACGATACCCCTTCAACCCTTAACGAGATCAACGTCGTTCAAAATAAAAACGCGCACGCTTACCCGCAATTAACATTGCATCTGACGATATCTACTGACGTTAACTAGTTCAACTTCCCTGAAAGGATATATAAGTCAGTTAATTTCAGACTGGGCTACTAGAAACATGTTTGTAACCGCCTTATTTTTTACATGACTACATGAAAGGAGCACCGACTATGGTTGCCCATATAGGTACTCTCATTCATGGCTCTGATAGGCTAGAATGTGATTGTTTCCATAGTAACTGTCACACCCTTATAATCCAAGCTGACGTCAGCAACGATACCCCCAACGTTGCGAACTTGCCTGGGAATCAAAGTGACACCGTGAACACATTAAATATATGTATCATTCCGCATTAGAAAGCAGAAAAATATACTAAGAGGACATTTTAATTAGTCAACAAAATGATTTGAAGGGAAAATCATTAATATTTACTAAAGTAGACACTATAATAATTTTAAAAACATTAGGAACACTTTAAACCATATATCATTGTGGAACTACGTTCTTAGCCGCGCAGTGAGACCAATCAATTAAGCCTATTTGTGAGCCATGTAAATTTCTACGCTAGTCATTTTCATAATCTTTATACATGTATGTTGAAACACACTAATGTGTTATCTGGTGAGCAGTATCATTCACGAGAAGAAAACACGAATGATATACATAACCGGAGCGTGACATCACTTTCATCTGGGTGTTTGGGTTTTCGAGAAACTCTTGAGACCAGCGTGACTTTTACTTCCACGGTGTTTTTGGCTTAGTGTGATCGCCATCGTCGAAATGACCATGGATCCAAAGGGGCACCAAATCGTTCACGTACGGGGGGATTCCGATACGGACTTGGAAGATCTTTTCCGAGCTGTGATGAACCCCACCGGTATTGTTAAAGAACCACTTCCACAGCACCCAGTGCCACTTCGGATGCGAAAACTGCCGCCTTCCTTCTTCAAGGAGCCCGACAAGCCCATGGCTAGCTCTCCCTCAGGAAGCCATTCGAGGGAATCGAGCACTGATTCTACCAACCCCGGTGGCCCGTTCGGTGCACAGACTTTGGGGTTACCCGTGAACCACCCTAGAGCACACTCCAGTCCAGCAAGTTTACAACAAATGCAAGCAGCTGCAGCTTCACAACAACAACAACAAACTGTTACCCCACAACATACAAGGCACACAAGCTACGATGTGACAACCATCGAAGATCTACCTCTGCCACCGGGCTGGGAAGTTGCCAGGACGCCGTCAGGTCAGCGATACTTTCTCAAGTAAGTTTTCACCAGGCATCTATACTTCCGCCGGCTCTACCTGTCTCAGTGTGTCAATTTACTCACTAAATAGTACGTTTTTTTTAATTATCGAGTCTTTAATTAAATCTCGGTTACAATAGTTAATGTCAATTCAAGTTGTCAGTGACTGTTTCGCGAACTTTTCGGCGGTCAAAATGGCGTCTTGTGTGTTATGTTCCGGCTCGTTTGGTGTTTGTAAAAGTTATAAACTATCTCAGTGACACTGAGTAAAGACAGATGTACTCTATCTTAGTCAGTGTAGCAAACATCAAAGGTATGATTGTAAAACATAGTGAGTGTTTTGTCGACTTTGATTGTCATGATTTCCATTGCAAATCCTCGCTCTTATAGTTTTACCAGGCAGCGAGGTTAGTGACCGTGACGGCGTTCACGATATCAGCTGATCGACACTTCGCCTGTGGTGGTCGCGGCCCTTTTTTTAGTACTAACAGCATTACGGGGTTGTTTTGGTTTTAGCTGACGTCGTTAGGAGTACATGTCCCGAGTTTCAAGCGATACCACCCATTACTGTTATCTTCGCACGTTTTAGCTGCACATTTTAAAAGATATCTCACGAAGTCCTGCGATTGCCTGACTTAAAAACACTGAGCTCCAAAAGGCAGAACAGTGTTGTGTTTCTTATCAAACTTGTACATTATGACGCAGCATGGCGTATCGTATTCCATCTGCTCGACTGAAAGGCTTTGTTGCCATTTACGTCGAAATGAACACAACATATTTAGTGTTATGACTATATCTGGTGGCGTGGGCGTTATTTGTGGAAGTAAAAAAATATTAACTTTCTGACAGTTTTGGGAAACTGACAAACATTTTTATTATCATTTTTTTAAATGGTTTTAGCAGGCAAAAGGTTATCACCTTTGACCTTTCAAACCCTTCTAACTCGTCTCCAGATTTTGACCCACTAAAATCTGTGGCTGAGTACTGAATTAATAAGTTTGAGCTGTTGGTTTCTTGACCCCTCAAGACATCGGTGATTATTCAAGTAATAATAAATGAACCTTATTGAAAGTGATATGATTTCCTACATAGCTTTATGCTTTGCAGTAGTTTCCTGTTTATTATTGTAACTAGTCTTTGGACTATTTATATCTAGGGAGGGGGTATGATTTTCACCAAAGTTTGAGCAAGAATATTGACAACTGGTTCTACCCAGAAAAGTTTAATATTGTAACAAACTTTCTCCAGTCATTCCAACAAAGTGGATCATACGCACAATTGTTTGGTCTTTATATAGTATGATTTTGAGGAGGGTGGTTCCAGTTGCACAGTGTTGGTTGGCATGACAACTGATATATACACAAACAACAGCTCATTAATAATTTTCAGAAACAAAAAAAAAAACATGTGGCATACATATGTATTGTTGGTCACTTTTTTTTTTTAAGTTGGAATTTTGCCAATTTTGCTTGCAGAGTAAATTGGCAATATAAAATTCAATGAGAACGGTCTTTCATTTTCCAGCTTGTTACAGATCAGTGAAGTGACCTCGCATGTTGTACACTGAATTAATACATTATAATGGAAATAAATTACAATTTAAAAATGAATTAATTCTATAAAAAAAATGAAGTGTATATCACTTTTGATACTTTCTTTTTTAAATAACTTTATAATTATCTTGTGCGAACCGGAAAAAATACTAACACAATTATGTTTGTCTTTTTGGTTTTTTTTGCTTGTTGTCATGGAAACGGACAAAAACTGAAAAATTATTTGATTTTAATTAATATCCCTGTTGGGTACTATATTATTTCAAGCCAGAGATTATAGACAACACTTCCTCAGTTTTGATGACTGTGTTCGCCCCCCCCCCCCCTATCCTCATCACTGTACACTATGTTGATGAGGTAATTTAATTTTTATTGCTTCCTGGACAGCATTGTGGGCATGCAGAGTCTATTTTATAGCTCAACTACTCCTGAAACCCTATCTTATCATGGCTAGTAGCTAAGGGGGGTTTAAATCACAAGAACTGCTTTCTTTTGCAGAGCTAAGGGGCACAGCAGTGAGTATTGATTTCTAAGATAGCATGTGTTTTGTGTGGATTATTTTAATGCATGTTTTAGTTTCCATCAGTGAGTCTTCAATTCATTATTCCTTGATTTCGATTCAGCGAAAAGATTTCTTTCTAATTAAATCTACTGCTGATAAGATCGGCGTCTAGAAGAATTAAATTTCTACAAATGTCTGCTCGGCAATAATAAAGAAGATCAGCATCTCTGAAATTGTACCATTGCATTGTGGGACACCACTGTCTCTGACAAGTAACCAGCTTCACATTTGACTTGATCAAGTCTGGCCCTGAATTTGCTTTGCCAAACAAACAGGATTAAATTTGGGTTCTGATTCGCAAATAATATTTCAGCTGGACTGAACTTCCTTCTGTGTTTATGTATTTACAACACAAATATCAAGTATACTACAGAATAGTCGATAGAGCTCGATTTAATGTTACTTCAATAATGAAGCCCTACAAAATGGCATAGTATCAAGGATTTATAAGATGGATGTATACAAGTGATGTATTATGCAAGATCTTGCTCAAATCGAAGAAGAGTCGCATAAATTGCAAGATAACAAAATGGTGTGACAAATGTACATTTCTAAAAAAAATACTAATGCACATAAGTGAAGCTGTAAAAGATCTTGTTAGTGTTCATCTGGCTGTTTTTATTTAGTATCCTTGCTCTATTAACATGCTTTTCTGTGTTTTTGATTACATCAACAATAATTTCCCTCATTCCTGTTCTCACAATCCAATCCGAACCAAATCTTCATCGCTATCACCATGCATAGATATGGAAGTTACTTATTATGTACACAAAGTCTTGAAAAACATCCTTTTCTTTTCTAAGACAGATAGCTAATGACCTGCTGTTGACAGTGAGGGGCATTATTGGAGAACCACAGTACACACAGGGTTTCATTTAAAAATCACTTCTATCACATTTCAATTTTCCTTCAGTATGAAGTCTTATGAATGACCCCTAAATAAAGGTCACACTTTCTGGTACTTTCTGGAGGTAAAAGTCACACATCCTGGTACTTTCTGGAGGTACAAATTCACTATAATTAAATGAAAATTTGCAAATATTTAAAAAAAAAAGTTTAAAAACAGTTTAATATGATACAAATTAGGAAAATAATATTTGAAATAATTGCTGTTATAGAACAATACCCCAGAAAGTACCTGGATGTGTGACCTTTACCTCCTTTACCTTTTAGAGGTCGTGCAAGAGACTATTATATTATTTTAGGGAACAATCACACCTACTGACACAAACTAACACAGATGGAGTTTAGATTTCCACTTTAAAACAACATACAGGATTAAGCTAATTAATAAATAAACAGAAGAGTTTCTTAGATAAGCTTTTTGGGCATTTGCACAATAATTAATAATGAAAAGACGTTTATTTTCTTTAGTAAAACACCACACAGCAAATTTAGTAAAGTCTGGTCTATAAGTGGAAAGCTTGACATTAGACACATTCATAGCTGTGTTATTATTACATTTCTTTGTTTTTTGTTTCATTTTAGTGGTAAGTCAATATAGTTTTGTTTTTTTCGTTTCACTCATTACGACATTTAGTGTTCCATGAAACTGTTCAGTAGTACACATTCACTCGTAAATATGGTGATCACGTGATCATGGTTCTTTGTCAGAATCTGACCTGGCATTTTTTTTTTTATGATACATATGGTTGTGATGAGAGATTACTGCCAACTGAACAAGGAAATACACGAATGCATTGTTAGTGAGCCAAGTTGAATTTCAAGCTTTTCATTCGGAAGGTTATTAAGCCAGTTTGAGCCAAATTGAAATTGTGTGCTACTAAACATGTTACTGTATATATGCATATGTATGCAATGCATTATGGGAGATAATCGTCCATTGTATGTAATGGAAAACTAGCATCACCCTAAAAACATAATAATAATACAACTTTTTCATCCTATGTCACATTTTGAGGTATGAATAAAGAATCACTTTGTTGGGTTGGGTTGGGCTGTTAAAAAACATCCCATCACAGACCCATCCCACTAGAAAGCCATTTCATTACAAACCTATCTTTAAAACTGTCATGCTGAAAACTCATCTGACTACAAACCCATCCTGCTAAAATCCACAAAAAAAAAACAACTGATTCTACATAAAACCCATCCTACTACAAATGAATTCACTGAAATCCATCCCACAACAAACCCATCCCACCAAACCCATCCTGCTAAAATCCACTAACACCCCTGCTCTAAAAACCCATCCCACTACAAACCATCACTGGAAAGATCCATCTTGCTCAAATCTCTTCTACAGATGATGATTTGAACTTTGAAGCTGCCATTGTACTACCACCATAAATAGAATAGGACTTCATTTTCTTGCTTCTTATATACTTATATTCCCAATTTTGTTGTTGTCAATACAAAATAAATATTCAGAAATATACACCACATGTCTAGTCTGCTTTTCTTGTGAAGACCAGAAGTTTTGAAGAGCAGCATCTTTTGTAACCTCCACACACACAAAAATGAGCAAGTATTAGTAAAAAACTGCAACCCAAATGTAGTAATAATGGCCTTGGCATTGATAAGAAGAGATATAGTACTGACCCCTGCCCCAGTCGAAACTTTGTATATTGACAAGACAAGGCCACAATGTTGAGTCCTGGGATGAGCCAAGTCACACTGTTGAACTATTGGGCTATGACCGGCTATGCACTGTGACAGTGAGATGAATAGGAAGAATTTGTTTAGAAGGAGCTCACACATCTTTTATACGTCCAGAAATCACTCTCTCCACATGGAGGCCCTTTACAGGGACATTATATCTTGAAATTTCATGATGTCCTTGATGGGATTTCTCCAAGCCATTAAGAATTGGCTTTAGGGTTGGCCATTTACTGCCATTTATACCAACTCTTCCATTGCCTATTTATTTGTTCTATAAGCAG